AGGGGCTCAGGCTCAGTCTCAAAGAAGGAAATAAGATCAAAGGGAAAAGGCTCAGCAAAAGTAAAGTGCATGTTGCCAAAGACCAAAATTTCACAACCCTCCTCCATGAAGAAGGATCCTAGCGCCAATTATTTTAAGTCGTGGCTGAGATGGCATCCCATACCTCCTTCCTCATAAAGCCCATCTCTCCTCCAACTCTTCCCCTCCTAAACATTAATTTCTCTTTGTGACTAGCATTTGGATGGGCTGGACTCTGATGGCATCCAGAATCTCATCAAAATACAAAACAGCTCCTGACTCATTACAGATCCTCCCCCAAAGTTCTTCGGCTTACACCGAAACAAAAGAGTAATTTGCAGAGCAATGTGGTAAAGCAGGGTTGCGCATTGGATGCCACCAGAGCTCCGTCTGTAAAAGTGGGAAATAAGGGTGCCCACCTTGAATGGGAGAAAATAACAAGGTACCACGTGAGCACTTAACGCCACATCTGGCTGCAGCCGTAGTACTAGCAGAGGTAGGAACAGCAGCTGTTGTTGAAACTATTAAGACGGGTGCCTCCAGCCCGTGGTATGATGGCTCAGTTGTTCCCTTTGCGCGTACCTGTTTCCCTGCCCACCAAACACAGGCAGTCCAGCCATCCCTTGGTTCCCCCAGAGGCGATGTGGACAATGTACCCTTCTGAGATAGGCTGCCCAGAAGACAAGGCAATGTTACGGTCATTCAGCCAGTTATTAATTAAGGATTAGGCTTTTGCAAAGATGAGCAGATTTCAGAAGATTCAGCCAAGGTTCTTAGCATTCACTCTCCAGGGGCCCCTCTCTCAATGCAGTGTCATCAGAAGTTGCTCTGGATTGGGTGAGAGTGGGCAGAGGAGGTAAAGAAGGAAAGTATCAAGAAAGGAAAGCACCTGTTGAGTAGAGTATAGAAGGAGCCAGCCAGTTAAGAAGAGTCCTGGACCCTCTCAGCCTGTTTATTCTGAGCCCTACCTCTTGCCTTTTCTCTGAAGCTCCATATGGTAGACTCTGTTTCATTACACTTGCCTTTCTTGATACATTGTTTATACTAACATGTAAATGACTGTTGGGGCTTTATGCTTGCTTATTTTTATAAGAGGAAAGCTTTCAGTCTAAGAAATGAACACCTTCAAGTGAGTAGGGGAAGCAGAGGGCCTTCCCAGTGATCAGAAAACATACTGCCCACTCCATCCAGAAAACCAGTGGCTGTGGTAGGCAGGCCAGCCCATTTGGGTTCAGTTGAACAGACTGAGCAACTTCTGAACCCTCTATCCCCTTCCTGGAAGTAGGAAAATGGGCAAGAGCATGGTGGGGAGAGAGGAGGACCAGACACACTGGATAGCAGAGGTACACGAAGTATTGGAGGATTACTCCCTCAAAATGCACTTTGCAGGGAAAGCAAAGCTATCAGGGAAGAGCACAGAGCTCTCTGCTTCTTCAAAGCGTGGACTTCTGATGTCAGAAAGTAAGGGATTCTGGCCATCCAACTCTTTGGGATATCCTCAGCCTCCTCTCTTGGTCCCTGCTGCCCCATGAGACATCCCAAGTTATGTCTGGCATGTTCAATAGAAGCTCAACTCATGAGCAAACGCAGCTAACCTACGCCAACATGGATACTGCCCGGGCCTCCCCATCTGCCTTGCAGCCTGGGACCAAAGTAAGGCCTGAACCAGCTTATGATACTGGTGGGAAGTTGGGGATTGGGTGGAGAATTCAGGTTACCAGAGACGGTCAGAGCAGAGACAGTAAAAGTGACAGGCAGGGAGTGCCACCTGTCCTCCCCACAGGGTAGCTCCACCAAGCAGCCCTCTTGGTTCATGACACAGGATGATAAGAGTCTGAAGGGTCTGGCTTCCAGCAGCCCCTAGAGAGGGGCTCCAAAATAACATAAACAGAGATGGGTCAGAGCCAGTCCTGGAACACAAACACCAGTATATTTTATGTGCACAAATTTAAAAAGGAAAAGACAGAGACGAACAGAGACAGAGCAGGCAATGGGGGTGCACAAACCAGTCCTTCTGAAGAGCTGCTGCAGTTAAGTGACCGTCCCACCCACTTCAAAGGCCCTTTGGCGGAGCCAGGACCTGTAGCCCCGCCAGGTCTGGTGTGGCCTCAGGGTGGAAAGTTCTCTCCTTGCCTTAGCCATAGCTCCTGAGGGCCTGGCCTTTCTCCTTTCTACATTCCCTGCGATGATGTCTGCACAGCCCAGAGCGTCATAAATGAAGATTCCTGGGAACTGACCCACCTAACGCTGCCTCCCCAGGAGACCCACGCAGAGATCAAGGAATCAGAACGGAAGGACTGCACGGGCACTCCCTAGGTATTATTGCTGTGAATAAGCATAGGCCATTGTGACTCACTGGCGTCAGAGGGGACAGGACACAAGGGACAGGATGCCTAGTAGACATCAGAAGCGGTTCAACCATGCGGGACAACACATAGCGATCTGTAACTCAGAGATGCTGCCATGTCTAGTGGAGAGAGGCCCAGGACACCAGAGGTTCATAAACAGCAAGCAGATTCTCCCCACCAGCACCCCCACTGCTTGACAGAGCTGGGATCACTCCAAACTCTGAGTCCCTGGGCACTAATGGGTTGGGGTTCTGAAGATACCCAAAAAAAGCAAGAGTTGAAGTCTGGGTTATCCCTAGTGAGCTCTAAGTCTGCAGATTCTGGGGCCAAGTGCTCCAGGTCACCACTGACCTTTGCCGGGGGCTGTGTGCCCTCTGAGGAACAGTATGAGCCAAGGGGCGCCTGGAGGAAGCAGAAACACAGTGCTCTGCACATTGCCAGGGAAGTGGACCTCCTGCACTTGGGAGTTTAAAAGGGCCTAGAGAGAAGATGGTGCCGGGGAATACCTGTGAGGCAACACCTGGAGTGACCAGACCTGGTGGGCCATCCAAGGGCTTGGTCTGGCTGAGAATTATGGGGGTCTTATGTTGGGAGACATCAACAAGCTGACTACCAGATTCTGTTGTGGAAGGGAAGAGCAAAGGCGGATGATGTGATCTAGGGGCCCACGGGGCAGCTTGGAGGGGTGTCTGGGCCCAGGAGATTGAGTTAACAGGGACTTGGGGGAAGAAGGCCAAGGAAACAACGATCAAGAGGGAGCAAGGAAGCCAGGCAGTATTTTCCCTCTGGTATCCCCTCTGACTGTAGATGGAGAGCAGTGTACCCCCACTGGAAGCCTGAGCCCTAGGAGCCCCAAAACATTGGAATTGGGGCAAAAATAAAATCAAAGGTAGGGCTGGCCCCTTCAGAATGTAGTTTGTGCAGAATCTGAGGAGCCTGGCTAGGACACAGGGGCAGGGAAACACCCTCCATCCTCTCCTGGGCTGGGTCAACGGCAGAAAACAACCCCACCAAATAAAAGCAGAGTCTCTCAGCTTTTCTCCTCATCTGGGCCACCGGGCCTGCCCACCTCTGCCCACTCACTCTGCCCCGTGCCCTGGCTGGTGCTGTCTGCAGGGTCTCGGGGGAAGAGCACAAGCAAGGAAGGGGAGATGCTCGCCACAAGTGGTATTATCACTTTTTAATGATCTATAAAAAAGGACAGGCTGATTTCTACCTAAGAGTCCTAGTGCGGTCTCATGGGAATGGACTATGGCATAGGCTGCTCTAATGGACTCCTCCCCTCAGGGACTGGGCACAGAATCAGAAGTGGGCTGGAAAGAGGATTTCACCTGTCCACTGCCAGCAATGGATCTGTCACCGGGGAGGGGGGCAACATGATGACAATGCCCTAGAGCATGGTAGGGGTGGTACTGTTCGAGGAGCAAGCTCAAAGCTTCAGGCTTGTAGAGAAGGATGGGGAGGGGTTTTTGCCACATGGCTGGGCCTATGGCACCTGAAGAGGTTTTGCCACGTGGCTGGGCCTATGGCAGAACCAGCTCACCCCCTCCTACCAAGGAAGCTCCATGGACCCTCCTAAAGCAGGAAGGCCAACCTCCTTTTCTCCCTCACTCATTCTCCATGGGTCTCCCACACTGGATACCTGTTCTTCCATTCTTCCATCCCCTAGAAAGCTAGATTGCCCCTGACCAACCTGAAAATAAACCAGTCAGGTGCCTTTATCCCACCCCCACCCCACAAAACTGATTTGTCAGTAGGTCCCCATTGTAGATCTGTGGGGTCCATCCTGGCTTGACTGTGCGTTGGGGGTATCATTCAATTTTGATTTTAGCTGGGCCGCTGTAGGAGGGGGCACCAAGAAGAGCACAGGACACTGCCACAGTCCACCAGATCAGGTGGGGAGTCACCATGGGGGAACTTCCCGGGTGTCGGGCCAGCAGAAGCAGTGCAGGGAACGCTCAAGCGGGGGCAGGGTCTGTCTCAGGGTTCTCTCTCTGCAGCTGCTATGTTGGCTAGGGAGTTGGGGGTGGGGGTGCATGGGGTGATTGACGTGGATAAAGGGGTTGCTAGTGGTAAAGGCCTTGAAAATAAGAAAGAAAAGGGGGAAACGCCACCGAACACACAGGGATTGAAAACCTCCAAAAGCCCAAGGTTGGTGGGAATCCAGCACCAGGGGGGCCCCCAGAAGGCCGAGGGAGCAGCAGGGGCCCTGGGGGAGGGGAGAGGAGCCAAGGGAAGGCCTCCCAGCCCTTGCAGACCAGCACTGCTGCCAAGCAGCCTCCTGGCCGCCCAGTCTCTTCTTAGGCTGCAGCTCAGCAGCCCCCGCGGGGAGGTATTGGTTGCAAGCAAGCACCTGAATATTGCCTAATGGAACCAGCCAAAGCCCAACTAAACTAGGGGAGAGGGAGGGAGAAGGCTGCCACAGCCCCAAGCCTCAGGCCTTGCCTCCCACCTTCTGCCCCATTCTCAGAGTCCCTCAGCCAGGGCAGGGCCTGCTGCTTCCAGTCACCAACGTAGTCCGGTTGCTACGTAGCTACAGGCCTCCCGCCTCCAGCCTCGGAGCTGGGCCGAGATCCAGGGACGCCTCCCAAAGTCCCGCGGCTGCCTCGACGCCCCACCCACCCCCAACACCTGGCCCCGCCCCCAACACCCGCCCCGCAGTGGAGGGTCTGGGGGCCGCGTGTGCCCTGCAGGGCTGAGCCGGCCGGGGTCAGGGCTTGTGCTGTACAGAGGGGCAACCCCACCGGCCCAGTACCTTTGTCCACAGGGTCCATGAGGGACCCCCGGGCCCACCCCTCAGCCCCCAGCCCCCAGCCCCAGCTCAGTCAGTCTTGACATGGCCATTGGCTAGAGCCAGGGGGCCGCCGGGCTCCCCGGGCTCGGCGTCCTTGTCAAAGCGGAGGCGGAGGGTGTTGCGGATGACGAACTGCTCCACGATGAGGGCCCCGCAGAACCAGGGCACTGCGTACTCCAGGGTGATGAGGCCCATGAAATCAAAGTCGAACTGCGAGTAGTCCCAGGGGCAGGCGTTGAACTGGCGCAGGATGAAGCCGGTGGTGAACTCCCACAGGTAGGTCCAGAGCGTGTAGATGAGGCAGCGCAGCAGCAGCGGGCAGCGGCCCCGCAGGCGCAGGTACATGCGCTCCACGATGAGGATGGAGGTGCCGTAGATGAACAGCGCCCACACACTCGTGACCCCCGGGAACTTCCAATTGAAGTTCACCACAAACTCCCAGGCCGCCGTGAACATCACCTCGCAGAAGTAGCCGTGGATGGCATACAGGTACCAGCGAGACAGTGCCGTCAGGGGCTCTGCGGAGGCCATGGCGCTGAGCGTTGGCTGCTGGGACAAAAGAGACAGGTGAGAGGCTGGGAGGGAGCCCCCGCCTTCCCACTGCCCAGCCCAAGTCTCTGGTGCGGCTTTCAACCTGACTCCACCACCTTCCCATGTTCCTCACTTTATTCCATATATATGCCTTACCTTAGCCAGGTGGGCATGAGAAATGAAATGAAGAAAACAAGTAGCCCACCCCAGCTTCCTCCACTCAACCCTACTCAAATGCTGCTTGGAAGACCGTGTCTACTACACCCACTATAATAATTTTTTTGGATTATCTGTGGGCAATGCAAGAGTCGGCTGTCAGGGGCCACCTGTCACCCTATTATCTATCTAGGTTTCTAGCTCATTTCTCACCAAGCCTATTACTGGGGACCCAATTCTTCCCCAACTTCTTCTCAAACAGTCCCACATCACTCCTATTTCTGGGATCTAAGCCACCTATCACATTTGTCTTTTGTATGTGTGTGTGTTAACATATACATAAAATGTCCCATTTAACCATTTTAAGTGTACACTTAAACGGCGTTAAGTACATTCACAGTGCTGTGCGGCCCATTACCACCATGCATCTCGGAAACTCATCCATCATCCCAAACTGAAAGTCCATACCCATTAAACACTAATCTCCAACTCCTCCCACCCTGTAACAACCACCAGTTTTTCTATCTATGAATCTGACTACTCTAGGTTTCTTTTTTAAGTGGATTCATGCAGTATTTGCCCTTTTGTGTCTGGCTTATTTCATTGAGCGTAATGTATTCAAGGTTCATGCATGTGGTAAACGGGTGTCAGAATTTCCCTCCCTTTTTGAGGCCGAATAACATGCCATTGTGATCTATCTATCTAGATACATCACATCTTATTTATCTAGTCATCCACTAATGGTTTGCTTCCACCTTTTGGCTATTATAAAAAATGCTGCTATGAACATGGGGGTACAAATATCTCTTCAAGCCCCTGTTTTCAGTTCTTTTGGATACATGCCCAGATGTAGAATTGCTGGATCCTATGGTTGCTGTATGTTTATTTCCTGAGGAACAGCCTTGCTGTTTTCCACAACGGCTATACCCTTTTCATTCCCACCAGCAATACACATTGCTCCAACTTCTCTACACCCTTGTCAGCACTTGCTATTTTCTAGCTTTTAAATTTGGCCATCCTAATGCATGGAAGCAACATGACTTGCTGTGGTCACATTTGTCTTTAACTGCTCCGTTAAGCAAGGTCTTGGTGTTTCGTTTCGAAGTTGAGAGGAAACCAGTGAGCTGACAGAGGAGAGTTCTCCCTCTACTTCTTATTCCCTTTCCCTCCTTTTTTTTTACACTCCACCAGTCTTCAGGGTCCTCCTGCTTCCCTGAAGACTGGCCCAGCTTTCTCCCTGCCCTCCACCAGCTACTGTCTTGACCACCTATTTGGCCCTTTACCCAGTGCCACCCTGTTTGCTATTTTGAGGCACATGCCCTCTTGATTCAACTAGCCTGGACTCCTTGAGGGCAGCAACTGTTTTCCAGCCCTTTGTTCCGCAGCGCTGCCAGAGGCCTCTCCCAAGCAGTCACTCTCTAAATGACATGTGTTGTTTATGCCGAAGGGAGAAGGGTAGAGTACAGGGCTGCATCGAGAACAGGAAAGCAGAGCATGAGAACATGAATCCCAGCTCTGCCAGCTGCCAGAGGACACCAGGCTCGACATTCTGTCAACCCCCTCTCCAAGGTGGGAGAGGGGACAGAGGTTAACAAAATAATATCTACATTCTGCCCGCCTGTCTGGGAATTCCAGCCTCACCTTGCAGCAATAGCAGGCCTATTCACATACCCATGTTCACTGCTTTGTGGTCTTCCAAGAATTTTCATTCACATATTTTCATGGTTCTTACAAATATAAGATCATGTGAAGGGTAGGTAGTTTAACTCTCATTTTTTTAAAGACACAGTTGGGACTTAGGGAGAAGTCATTTGCCCTGTATCTCAGGACCAGTTATTGGAAGAGCTGAGCTAAAAGCCATCTATCTTTGACTTCTACTTCAAAACAAATTCCACTGCATACTACTGCCCATCTCCTAGACATGCATGCCTAATGTCACTCCCCTGCTCAAAAGCATTCAATGGCTCCCTATCTGCTAAAGAAACCCTATAGCATCCTTGGCCTGGCATTCAAGACTCTCTATGATCTCACTCCAGTCTATGTTTTCCACCTCACTCTCCCAGTCTAGCTCTCATCTTACCTCCGTGCCTTTGAAGATCCTATCCACTGTGTCTCTTTGCCTTTTGTGTGACTCTCACAGCCCTCTCTTCCTCCTCTGAATATCCACAGCACTTACTCTGTTCCTCTTCCATATGGATGATGTGCTGTTCTATTATGTTGGTAACTTTCAGTCCCCATCAGGACATCTTTCCTGTGTTCTACACCTATGTATCCAACTCCTTCCTCAACCCCTCCATCTAAATGTCCCGTAGGCACCCCAAATGGCTCTCCTAAATAAAATTCATTATATTTTCCCAAAAACTTGTGTTCCTCCTATGACCCTAGCCTGATTAATGGCACCACCACACACCCAGTTAGCACCCAGAGGCCTTAGTGTCATTCTAGCTTCCACTGCCATATCCCCCCTCTAACATGAGCTCGCTGAGAGTAAGGACCTTGTCTGTCTGGTTCAGCACTGCATCCCCAGTGACTAGAATAGTGCCTGGTCCACAGTAATCATTCAATTCAAGAACAAAGACATTTCTTAATCAGTTCTCAGTTGCTACATAACAAATCATCCCCAAACTCAGCAACTTAGGTCAACTCTCATTTCTTATTACAGCTCATGTGTCTGTGGGTTGGCAGATCTTGGCTGGCCTTGATCATGAGACTGTGAATCATCTGGGGGCTCTGTCCTCTGCTCGGCTGGGGTGGTTCTGCTCCACTTATCTCTCATCCTCCTGGGCCCAGGGAACTAGCCCTGGCATTTGCTTCTCATGGCAAGGGCACAGGCACAAGAATAAGCAAGCTTAACTGCACTGGTGCTTCTGATTAAGTTATACCCACTAGCATCTCATTGGCCAAAGCAAGCCAATATCAGAGGCACCGAGTTAACCATTAACTCCTGTCCTTTCAACCTCTTTACCTATCTTCAACACCCATCTCCTCTTTACCCTCTTCCTTACTGCCGCTGCTCTTACTGAAGCCCCCATCATCTCTCACTCAGGTAACTCTGACTGTCTCCCAGAGGCTCCACCTCCTTGCCTTTCCTTTCCAATCAACTCAGCACACTCTGAAGAGTGTGAGGTAAAAACAACCTTTCTAAAATGCAAATCCAGTGGTTCCCCCACTTAAATCCCCATTAGCAGATCTTTACCATCTACAGAGTAACGTTCAAACCCCTGGACAGGCTGGTGAAGCTCTTCACCCACCTCTGCCTCAGATCCTGTCTTCCGATTTTTTCATTGCTGTTTTTGCTACCTGGGATGCCCTTTGCACTCCACTCCCACCTCCACACCACTGCCTCCACTCCCGCCTCCAGCCCTTGGCTCGTGAACCCATGATCCTCCTTCAAGATCCAATCTTATCTGCAAAGACCTCCCTGAACACCCCAACCGCAGAGCTGTCCATTGCCTATCTGTCCACCTCTGCACCCAGTTCATGTCTGTGACGGCAGCCCTGTGCTTTACCACAATCCATCTAAAGGCCAGCACTAGTAGCCACTTGATGAATATTTAATACAATGTTAAGAGAAAAAAAGCAGAATAATTAATAATAATTCAAACCTCAATAATTAATATGATTATGATTTTTCAAAAGCATACATACATGTAAATATACAAAAAGATTAGCCACAATCATGTCCAAATGGTGACATCATCAATGACTTTTTTTCTTTCTTTATATTTTAGTGTATAACGTACTTTTTTCCCAACAAGTGTGTATAACTTTTACAAAGATAAAATTTAATCTCAAAAGTGTTTGTTGAAAATAGCAGCAGACTCAGAGACTCCAAGAAGGAACTACTGGTTATCAAAGGGGAGGGGTGTGGGAGGGCAGGTGGAGAGGGAGGGAGAAGGGGATTGAGGGGTATTATGTTTAGTACACATGGTGTGTAGGATCACGGGGAAAACAGTGTAGTACAGAGAAGGCAAACAGTGAATCTGTGGCATCTTACTACACTGATGGACAGTGACTGCATTGGGGTATGGGTGGGGACTTGATAATATGGGTAAATGTAGTAAACACATTGTTTTTTCACGTGAAACCTTCATAAGAGTGTATATCAATAATACCTAAATAAAAAATTTTTTTAAATAGTGGTTGTTGAATGCATATATATATTAGTCACCTTTGTGCCTTGTTCATAGAAGATGTTCAATAAATTTGCCAGAAAAATGAACTAAGGAAACCTGAAGTCATATACAATTAGCTTCGGTTCTTCCCTCCTGAGCCACCCCCAACAAGGAAGCATGACTTCATGGGTCTGAATAAGGTGTAGTGGTCAAACACAGGGGCTCTATATCCTAGCTGCCTGGGTTTTCATCCTGGCTGATAACTTACCTAGGGCAGATCCCCTGACCTCTCTGTGCCTCAGGTTCCTTATAGGTAACATGAGAACAGTAAGAGTAGCTGCTTCTGAGCATTATCGTGAGGATGAATGAGCTGATATATGCTCCTAGGAATACAGCACATGCTCAAGAAAGGGTGGCTCTCATTGTCATTTCTATCACAGAGCTAGGCGTCCTCGTCAGCTCCCCCTGCTTTGAGTGCCACCTCCTACCTGAGGCTACTGGCTGGGCAGCTTTCCTTGCCACGCAGATTAGGTCTTCCCCTCCACCCACAGCACCAACCCGGCAGCCAAGCAACCCTGTGAAAACAGCCGCACATACAATAGCCCACAGGAGAGAAAAGACTCAGCTGAGAACAGTCACAGTGAGCTTCCAGCTTCCGGATGAGGAGAGGGTCTCAGAACCAGCCCTCTGAATTCCAGGCTTGTAAAGGGGGGTGGAGTAAAAGGGCCAGCTTTCCTGGCACAGCTTCTCACACCCTAATTTTATCCTGAACCCCAGACAGGTGGTTAGCCCCCCTGGGAGGGAAGAGAACAGCCCCAGGCCCCAGGGAAGTTCACTGAGGAATGCGGAGGAGTCTCATCTTTGGGGATGGCCATGGTTTCCCAATCGGTAACAAATCAGAGGCTCCAGTTGTCCCCCTGGAGCAGGTGACTTGAAAGAGCAGGGTCCCCAAGCCCTATGGGCAGAAGTAAGATTAAAAGAGTAGCTGTCAAAGGATGAAAGAGGGCCAACTGTTGAACAGAAGAGAGCATAGGGGAGAGAGAACAGGGGGAGACCAAGGCCTGGGTTCCGTTTCTGGAATCTTCAGGACCCAGAAGAACATGGACAGGTGGAAGGGCTGCGTACCTAGGCAAAGTCAGGTCACTTTCGAGGGGTTGTGCCGGAGGAACACACCTGGTCCACGGAGACAAATGGGAGAACTGGAAGTCCTGGCTGGGGCCAGGAGAAGGGGGGTGAAGACTGGGAACAGGGATATGAGACAGTGTCACCAGCTTGATGGCAGCTCACACTCTGGTGGGACAGACGCTAAGATTAGAGGTGGGCAGATTTTCAGAGCTCCATGCCCCAAAATCACTTCTAATAACCACAGAAGCTACGTTTAAACTGTGAGCTAGGACAGACTCACCCAAGCACTGCTGAGCCCAACAGACCCCCATCCCTGCCCTGGCCTCCTCCCTCCACCTGAGCCCCTCACCCAGGACCCTTCCAGTACCTCCGTGCCCAGCCCCGGGGTCGGAGCCCTGGAGAGCCCGCATCAGGGGGAACCGCAGCTTGCACATTGGCTTCTTCCTCCTGGTGACAAACGCCACCACCCCGAGGACCATGACACTGAGACAGGGCAGCCCCAGGAAGAAAATCCAGGGTGGAGTAAAGAGGAGGGCATGGAGAAAGCAGGAAAAAACAGTTTGGAGAGCTGTGGATGGTTTCACAAGCAGACTTTGGGGAACAGCACTCAAGTCCAAGAGCCCTCATAATCGTTGATAAAAGGGCCTGGGAACACAGCGCTGCGGCGGAGGGCCAGAGCTCAGGGCGACGTGGCCAAGCAGGGCACCGAGCCTCCAAGGGGAAGGTGCTGGAGGAGGGCGCTGGCTTAAGAGCCCTGTTCTCTTAAGCGTCTCACCTGCTGCTCTCCGAACCTGCTGAGCTATTCCTTAGGGTGGCAGAAAGCAGAGTAAGCAGTTGAGAGGGGCGTAGTCCAAGACAGAATGGAGGCCGAACCAGCTGGCATGATTGCCCCTGGTTTTGCCAAAAACCTCTTATCTTGTTCCAGGAAGATATGGTGCCACACCACCGTGACTCTGGGAATTTCTGTACGGAGGAGCATCTTGCTAAAAAATCAGAATTCCTCCTCTATGCTTCCAGGCTAAGCAGGCCTTCCTCTCTCACCCCATTAACTTCCCAAATTTCACTCCCCATGCACAGGCACCACAAGTTCCATGCTCTGGGGAGAGGCATAGCTCTTCTAGGGAGCCCCTGAAGGCAAGGTGATGGGGGGACATCTTGAGTGACCCTGAGTCCAGTGCCCTGGTAGGCTCTGTGCTGGCGGGGAGTGGAATCACTGAGGGGTGGGCAGTTGCTCTTACATCTGGATGCACAATGCAGCATCTGAAACTGGCCTGAGCTGCCCCTGAGGTTATCAAGCCACAGGCGTGGGGGAAAACATGGGCTTGCTTCAGGGCCAGAAGCAAAGCAGGTCGGGGGAAATAAATGTGGTCACAGGCTGGCCTGGATGCTGCAGAGCTCCACCCTCTCTTGCTGTGGTCCTCTCTCCACCTCCCAAGTAACAAGAATAATAATACTCAGGCATCTTCTCAGCACTTACCATGTATTAACTCAGATAATCCTCAAGCTAATTTTACAGATGGGAAATTAAGGCAGAAAAAGACTACTTGGCCTAAGTTCTTAACAGCTCTACAAGGCAGAGCTAGGATCCAAGTCTGAGTCCAGAGGCTTCACTCCCAGTCAGCACACTGCACTGCCCTTGAGGCTGACTACAGGCTCCTCTGAGGGCACTACTATTTTCTCAGTTTCTGCTTCTGGAAGGTTCTGATGATACAGAGAGACAACAGGAAGCAAGAAGGATGTGAGCCTTTAGGTCATCATCAGTGAAGAAGCTTGGAACTGGGTGCCAGAGCTTCTAAAGGCTCTCAGCCTATTCTGAGAGGCCAAGCTCTGTTCTGAGGCCAAGTGCTGGCAGGATCTACATGAAGGTCTTACAGGGTCACAGCTGACCCTCACAGGGCCATGGTGGCAGCCACCCCTCAGGGCCTCAAGGCATGTGCCATTCACAGATCTCTCACCAGGACACACATTACCTTCCTGACTGCCAGCCTCCCAGTACTGCTGGGAATCTCAGATGGCCCAGCCCTGCTGTGGAAATGCCAGCCAGGGGCAGCGACCAGTGTGCAGGCTGCCCAGAGAAGTGTTGCTTGGAGCAGCAGCGGCCAGAGCGTCAGAAGCAACCATTCCACGTAGGGTGGCCAGCAGAGGAGGATTCTGGAGAGCCTCGGATGCTAAGCAAATTCCAGCTGGCAGGCACAGAGGTGCAAGTGGACTTGGGGGACAGAGTCAGCCTGGCACAGAGGTTCACCAAGGCTCAGGCCACAAAGGGCATCCTGCGGGTGGGACTCAGAGGTCGGGCATCTTATGTGTTGCTTGTAAGTCTGTTGCCAAGCCTCATATGGCTGCCTCCCTGTTGTCATTCAAATCTCAGCTCAACCTTCACCCCTCCAAGATCTTTTCTGATCCCCAATCCAAAATAGCCTCCCCGTCATTCACATCATCTCATTTTATTTTCTTCAGGGCATTTTCACTTTCTGATATTTTGCTCATTTTTTATTGTCTGACTCTCCCAATTAGAATGATACCTCCCTGAGTGTAGGGGCTCTATCTTGTTCACTACTGGGTAACCAGTGCCTAGAAAAGTACCTGGCAATAAAATCCACTAGTACCTGTGGGATGAATGAACAAATGAATAAATGAGCCCAAACAGGCCCTTAAACACTGAGGAAGGCAAGTATAAACAGCTAATTGGCTCCGCCTTTCTCTTCTCCTTTCTCTTGGGACATACAACCTTTTAAAAAGTTTAATTCTAGCATTTTAAAATACCTTTATTATTTTTCCTGATTACAAAAGTAACACATGCTCACAGCTGAAATTTAAACGTTGCAGAAAGGAATGACTTAGAAAGCAAAAGTCCTCCATCATCCCACATCTTAGAGAAAGTGACTATTAATGGTGTGTTGTGTATTCATCCAGATTAAACAGTTTTAAAAGGAGCAAATCCATGCATCACAGAAAGAAAAGGTATTCACGGTTCAATCCAGCTAGCAGCCATTATCATTTTCCCTTGCAATCTTTCCTCATGTGTTTATTTTACAAGCTACCATAATGTACTTATTTTGAAATCTGACACTTTCACTTACATCATAATAATTTTTCCAAGTTATGTTGCTTCTGTTCTTGAAATTATAATGGCTGTATAATATTCTACTGGGTAGAAAATTATAATTTACTTAACCTAGATGTTCAACAAAGGGAGAACAACTGTTTCCCATTCCCACTATTACAATGACACCACAAGAAATATTTTTTTAATGCCAGTAACAAAAGAATCCAGCCGTTTTTTTCCTCTGGGACTATTTGTTAGTTAAAGAATTCCTAGTGAATAATTCCAGAAGTGGGATCACTGGACAAAAGGGTCCAACTGTTTTAAAGCTGATGTTGTAAATTGCTCTGGGAACCTCTGTGTTATATGGGGAATAGGTCTCCTGTCTGAGTCATCTAGGCCATCATCATGTTCCCACAGCGGCCTCCGCGGCCGTCTCTCCACCCCCACACTACTCCCACAGTCCAGGCTCGCTCGCACATCACTCTGGCTACACATCAACTCAACGATACACTTCCTGAACAACGCTCCAATCACAAACTGATTTTGCAAGCCCGAGCTGAGCGAAAAATAGATTCTAGCCCTGAGCTTTAGACTCTCAAGTGGCAGTAGAGTCAAGATCTACTTAAAGCTGAGAAATACTAAGTTATCTCCTTCCTACCCTGCAAACTCCGGTGTGGACTTGAAGGCTCCCAGCTCCCGTGCACCAGCCCAGCAGCTCCTAAAAGCTTGTCCAGTCAAGAGTGCACAAGTACCAACACTGTCCACCCTGCTTACAGGGGAGCTTCCTGCCTGCCATCCTGGGTCCCACAGTGGGTCTGCCTGCCTGGACAGACAGAACAGCCTTTAGGCCACACAGGCCTCTGGGGCGTAGGAAAGCATTTTTAAAGCATCATCAGGGAAAAACCAGAGGCCAAGGCTGGAAAGAAAGGCCATGTTAGAACAGGCGAGACTCCGCGGCCAGGGCCTCTTGTCCTGCACGCAGCCTTGTCTGCACCGAGGAGACCCCACTGAAATATGACAAAAGCAGCCAAAGACTTGTTCCTCTCTTCCCCCGGTGGCCACTTTTGTACCACAAATCCCTCACCTTCTCGTGCCCTGGAGGCTCTACCCAAAGCCACGTGACCTGCTTGTGGCATCTGGGCAGAGTCCAGGGTCCTAGGTGAGGTGCAGTTCCTCCTGCACAGATGTTAAGTCCAAGGCCCAAAGCATCCAAGAGCCAACAGCCAAGAAAGAATTTGGGGGCCTTACATCACTGTGTCAGCCAATCTGGGTCCAGCCCACTTCTTAGAGGCTGTGTGGCTGTCAGATGGTTCCAGCTTGTGACACGGCTTGAACCCCCTGGACACTCCCCTTGCATTCCACTGCAGCCCAGGGATGGGCCCTCGCAGGGGAGGCAGGCTCAGAACTGGATCCTCCAGACCTGAGCCCATGCCACTGAGGCAGGAAGGGCCAGTGATCCCTGGGGCGCCTGTAACATACTCACTTGTCACACCCTTGTGTGTGTGGCTCAGAACAGACATCAGGATCACTGTCCAGGAGTGTCCCGGGATCACCTTTGGGCTAGTGCCTGGCTGGGCCTCGGGGGCATTCTCAGCAGTGTGGGTGAGCATCAGCCCCAGGCCTCAGCTGATCCTCGGCTAGTGGGTGAATGGCTTCCATGCGTCCCTGGAAATAAAGGAAGAGGCATGCATGAGCTTAAACTGCCCCTAGCTCCGAGACACCAGGCCAGAGGGAGAGGCAGCCTTAAGGACAACACCAAAGGGGCCCCAGGCCAGCTCCAGACACTCATTCTGTCCAGGTGACTGGGCCCCTCTCCTGGAAACACCTCTTCTGTGCCATCCCATTTGTTCAAGTCTGGTTAATCCAGTGACCAGAGCTTGGAGTGGCTTCCGGGCAATTCACCCATGGGCCTGGGACTTAAGGCTTCTTGTACCACAAGTGAATGTGCGCACACTTGTAAATCTGAGAGGGTATAATTTTAGACTCCATCTCCATTCTCATTTAGCTTCAGATTACACTTCTCACCTTCACTCTGTAGTGGGTACATCTGTTCTCAAGGGTGGTCAAGAACGTCATGGAAGGCAGGCAGTGTAGGACACTGCTGTTAGCGTTTGGGGAGTTAAGCACAACTGCACACAGAAAAACAAGCCAACAAATGTATGCTAAAACCCTCTGCCTGAAATCCCCCACCCTAACATTTATTTCATTCTATTGTTTTATCATTACTGTTGAGGCTTTTCCTATTAACATCAATAACTAAATACAAGCTGATATTAATCTAATTTGCCCCTTGCCACATACACATTTTTAATATACCCCTAAGCCTTGACCATTGGATAGAGATTCCAACATTTTTTGTTTTAATAAGGAGGTGCTGAAGCTTCCCTGAAAATCCCTGGGATACAGCACCACCTGCATAAGGCCAAGGACAGAGCTCAGGTCTAGCTTGGCTCTATGGAAGGACAGATGCGCCACTCAGAAGCCAAGAACAGTATGTGACTAGGGGTGGGAGTCAGCACCAAGCCCCCATTGACGGCCAAGCAGGGTGGACCGCAGAGACGTCACCCAGGGCTGACGCCCACGGCCACCTTCCTCTACTCTTTCCCACAGGCCCTCTGAGCAACCTGACAATTTGCAAGACAGCAAAGGAGCTGAGAAGTGAAAGGGCAGAGGCTGGGGACCTGAAATTCATGGTATGCACACGTGCTTATGGCCAAGGAGGCTGTGCACCCCTGGGTCTCTCCCTGGGCCTCATTGCTGAGTGGTGAAGGACAGAGGGTGTGAAGTGCAGAGGGCTGCTGTGCTCTGCCTTGCCCTGTCCCTCCCCAGCCCTTCCATAAACAGGAGCCCCCAACCCTCCCCACCTGTCCATCCTCCTCCTCCTCCCAGCCTGCCGGACAATGGGCAGGGGTCACCCTGGAACCTACCTATCACCACGAACAAAGGGCTTTAATGGGGCATGTCTGATACCCCTCCTCTCCCAGCACCACTATGACCCTGGGAAGTTCAAGTCCACCCACCGGCACTTCTGCTTCCCTGGGTCCTAAGAGGTACATGAATAGCAGAAATCAAAACCAAAACAGAAACAGGAACCAACGCCCACATCCTGCCAGCACTGCCCATGGGTGGCTGCAGTAAGCCCCAGGAGCCCATTGCTGGCTGAGGTGCTACCCTGGCAGATGGAGCGATGGCCCCTGGAACAGCTGCATTCCAGGGCCAGCCTCATGCTGGACACCTCCTACTTCCTGGACTGTGTGGGGGCTGAACAAGGAGGTAATGGTATAGCTCTGCCTCCAAGTGTACATGCTGTCTCCAGTGCCCTCCAACACTCCCTGGGCCCTCAGAGCAGGTCCCTGGCTTGAATAGGGCATGAGGCTCCTTTGCGGACTGCATGACCTGAGCCAGAAATTCTCGGGGCCTGTGATTGTGTACAGAGTCCTTATAGCCACTAACATGTAGGTAGAACTTACATTTTTTCACGTATATCATCTCTCATAATTTTCCCAAGACTCTTGCAGAAAGAGAAGGAATTATCACAGACACACACACACACACTGCCCCCCTTTTTAGAGATTAAGACACTGAGTTTCAAGATATTAGGAGATTAGGCCAAATCTACACATTTGATTCAAATCCTGGTCTTCAGGCTCCAGAATCTCCTCTCTCCCCCCCATACAATATGCCCTCAAACTGCTTTTCATCCAAATCTCATTCTTAACATACACCACATGCATGCATCCTTCATTCAGAGTAATCTACTTCGTCCACTCTGTAAGCCACTTATTTGTAAACATACAGCCAAGTCTGTCCAACCAACTTCTCCGTCAACATGGCCCAGTGTTACCGGGAACTTGAAGGAACAGAAACCACCATGCAGTTTCCAGCCCTCCTCTGCAGTCCACCACATCCACTCTGCCTTTGAGAATCTGCTCCCTCCGCATTCGTGTGTGCTGCCAGCTAGTTATTCCATCACTGATGTTTCCACAGGACTTGGAATATGCTCCTATTAAAACATAATGTCCCATCTGAAAATCAAGCATCTGTTTCCCCATCCACATGATGAATTCCTTGAGACCGTGGAATTTCTGTTGGATGGATGGACAAGCAAAGTAGAGAAAGGGTCCAGCTAGTCTTGGGTGATTACATCATCCAGTGTTACTAAGCAAACATAGTGATGTCCAGCATTGTTGTCTGATTTTTAGGCCACCATTATGGAAGGGCTCTCTCCCACAAAGCTCCATATGCACTGGCTTACAATGGCCATGGCTATCTCTGCAGACAAGGAAAGAAAGGAGGGTGCTCCCTCTCCTTTCTTCCACCTCCAAGAGCCATCATCTGGATTGAGGGGTGAAGATAGACATGGGGGAGCCTTGGGTCTGGACAACCCAGAAGACATGTCACATGAGGAGGACTGAAGCTGGAAAAGAGCATCCCAGGCATCCTGGGAGAAACTGCAGCCCCCTAGGTGGGCAAGGGGCCAACCTCAGGTTCAGGTCAGAGAATAACAGTAACAGTGCCGATTCTGTTATTCCTACAATGTGCTGGCACTCTCAAAAGGCACATCCAGTTTTCCTGCACATAGGATTCATTTCCAAAGAGGTTTAACCAGCAGCTGCTGGCAGGAAATTTCCTCTGCACCATTCTTTCTCCTCCCCATAACTATTTAGGGTAAGCAGGGCTTGCAGGACTAAATCTTTGCTTCTCTGACTGGAACCTAAAAGCCAGTCCCTGACTCCATCTCCATGGCCCAGAACCTAAGCCTAGACAGTAAACACTATCCTTTTCTCTCTCCCACTCTCCTTTTCTCCAAATCTCTTTAAATGTCCCCCGCCCCAGGTGCCCACAAAGTAAAGAGATGTCCCAAAGACCCACTGGGGAGCCCTCTGGTTACTCAAAGCCCCCAGTTCTTCCCAAGTGACCTGGAACAATAGCTTTCACTTGTCCTGTAGTAAAACCTGCCCTGAACAAGAGTGGATTTCACAACAACCAAACCAAGGAGTGACCAGCTCCAGTATAAATGTGATTGGAATTCCAAACCTCCCCACGGGCTGGGTCTGGTCAGCTCCCCCTGGGGAGCAAGGGCTCCCAGGCTCTTGAGTCTGACTTGGCATCAGGAAAGTGGGTAGGGGTGGGGAATGGACCCTGCACTCCGCCTGGCCCTCTCCTTCCACTCCATGCCCCCTCCCTCTGGGCTTGGAATCTGGCTTTTCTTCCTGCCAGACATCTCACCACTCTGTCTTCTGTCTCACCTGCAGGCTACCCTGCTCCATAACCCCTCTCTCCCCTTCCTCTTCCCCATCCAGGCGACTCTGCCTTAGATGTGCCTCCCAATGTCCCCCTCTGAACAAACCCTGATCGCCCACCCCCTACACTATAGAGGGTGGTCTCTGACGCCATGCCCCTTTCCTTTCCCTGCATTGCACCCCCTGGCATTGGGTAGCTGCTGCTCGCTGCCTGAAAGGCTGGACAGCTGCTGGGCTCCCTAATTAGCTGCTTGGCCGCTGTCCCGGAGCAAGGCATGTGTTGCTGTGGAGAGCTGCCTCACCTCCCCTTCATCAATAATCCCCTGTGCGGATCCCATCAGGCAGCAGCTGAGGGGCCCTAGAATCCTCCTCACAGGAGATCAGCAAGGCTCCTCCTGTCAGCTGGAAAGAGACAGACAGTGACCTCACAGACTCACTGACAAAGTGACCAGGAATTTATTTCTCCCAGTTCTATTACTGCCCATGTCCTAGGTGCTCCACAAGTTACTCCACCATGCCACGCCTCTGAGCAGTGAGGACCCTGCCCTTTTTACTTCCTGCCTCACCGGTGAGGGCAGGAAGTAGTCCAGTAGGTCTTTCAGAGGACAAGCCTGGACAGCCTTAACAGCTTGACACCCAGTGCCCTACTTTTCACAGTTTTCTACAGCCACGCCAGCTCAGAGACTTCTAAACAGCCAGGGGACCTCGTCCAAGAAGTCCTGTGGAGGCTGGTTTGTTTATTTGAGGTGTTATATTCCAGCTGTGAACAAATATTATACTGAGTACCTGCTGAAGGCCAGGCACTGTAATAGGCGTGAACAAGACAGTGTCCCTGCCCCCTTGGAGCTCACAGCTCTGTAGGAGACAGACAATGAGTAAGTCAGTCAACGCATACTGTTCCCTCTGTATCAGGCCATGAAGAAGGGGAGAGGCCTGCTGAGGGACAGAAAGAAGCTGGATGCCGGAGGGCTAAGTCTTAAACTTCTCTAAGGAGGTAGCGTTTGGGCATAGATCAGGAAGATGCAAAGAAGCCTTGCAAAGAGTTTTGGAACAAGTATTCCAGGCCGAGAGAGAGTAAGTGAAAAGACCCTGAGCAAGCTGCACAAGTCTGAGAAATAGTAAGTCCAGAGCGGCTGAAGTTACTGTAAGCAAGGGGTCAAACACTCCTTGCCCCTTATTGCAGAAGTCATCTGGTGGTCCCCACAGTGCCAGCTGCACCAGGGCAAAGCCCCCAGTTTTCAAGTGAACTTATCCAGTCAACAGAAGATGCCCCTGCAAGCAGAGATTGGAAACTATGGATTCTAGTCAATTGTTTAGCAATACATTTATTAACGAATGAAGGGAAAATGAAATCTTCTGACTGATGGCCTGGAATTCCCATCTACTTCTGATTAGAAGAATTAGTAACTAACTTTACCAGGC